TTTTTTTTTTTTTTGTGTGTTTTTAATCAGGGCTAATTTTGAAAAAAGTTGGTATGATTAGTTGTTAGTGGATTTTGAGTTTATATTAAAATAATATTTAAAATAAAATAATTAAAGTTGATTTGATATTAAAAGTAAGAGAGATGATGTGAAGTGATGATCGTCAGTTAGAATTATGCGAGTAGTTAGAAATTAGAATTACGTGAGTGGATGAACATTGAGTTTTAGTTGATTTGATGTATAAGAATAATTAATTGATATTATTTAATTATATTGATAATTGAGGATACTAGTAGAGTTGGGTTAAAGTTGAGTTAGATTTTGAGTATAAATTGAGTACAAATTGAATTTATTTATATACAAACACCTTCATATGTTATTTTTCTGGTGCAGATACTTTTAGAGCAAGGGAGTCAAAGCAGTATTTCCAGCCGGCTTCATGGCTACCAAGCAATAGCTATGATTGTTCTTCTCGGGTAGAAACAAACTATTGTTTTCCGCAAAAATAAATAAATAAATAAAAAATAACTGGTTCTAACAAACTCAAGAATTGACTTTCGCATCTTTTAATCAGGCCAAAGTTGAAGAATATTCAGAATCTAATCCAGGAAAATGTGAAGAAGTTAATGTCCCAACAACTCCATCTTCCTTCAATTAACTCACGGCGTGACTTTTCGAAACCAAGTTTTCTTGCTTCATGCAGCACGTTTGGCCCGAAGGTGAAACTTCTTGCCTATATGTAAACTGTATTAATATTAACTTCACAGCCTATTGGTTTTGATCTTTATCATGTACAGGGAATAGGAGTTGTGGTTCGAGTAGCATCCATGACAACCGAATCTGTCTACAATTTCCTGCAGCAGCAATTGGCTAGCTTCGAGCCCTTGCTTGGAGCCGCACCATATGGCTAGAATGGACTCGAGCTCAAGTTTAGATGGATTTTTTTTTTTCATTTTATTTTCTGCTGTTAAAAGTGTCGTAATAGAACACCATTATTACCATGTTGGTAACATCTTTTTATTCTTCTTTTCTGGTACTACTTTCCATAAACATGGAGTATCATGAATAATTTTCACTGCTATGCCTTGTTCGTGGGAAAATATACAGTGACCCGTTTTTTGAATGTATCGAATCTGGGACTTACAGTCATGTAGTTTATGTGAGATTTGAGTTCAAATCTGGATATGAATTGTGGGATTCTGTAAACTGAAGTTTAGAACCATGAAAATAAACATATGCACAAATTTTATCATATTAACCTCATATCAACACACATCCACATGGGTGTGTGTGTGTGTGTGTGTGATCAGACGGTTAAAACTCGTGTGGGAGTAGTGCCGAATGAGGTAAGATCGACTCTTCTATTATATCTCCCTCTTTGAGCTAAATTTGACATCTGATTTTTTTTTAAAAAAATGAAGAATGTGAAGTCAACTTACTGAATAAGAACAGGCAGGGTGAGAAAATTGAGAACAAGATGTATTTTGGTCATCCCAAATTGTGTCCTCTCTTTGGCAGAGGCGTACATATATATAAGAGTAGGGTTTTACATACAACTAATAGACTAAGGGCAAATATGTAAATACATGCAATGTACATTGACACCCCCCCTCAAGTTGGAGCATGCGGATTCCGAATGCCCAACTTGCCAAGAAAAAAATCAAACTCGCGCTTTCCAAGGGCCTTGGTAAAAATATCGGCCAACTGACCACCAGTAGAAACATGACGAGTAGAAATAAGACCCTGATGAAGTGCATCTCGAACAAAGTGACAATCAACCTCAATGTGTTTGGTGCGCTCATGAAAGACAGGATTCGCGGCGATATGCAAAGCAGACTGACTATCACAAAAAAGCTGCATAGGCTGGGAATGAGACACACCAAAACTAGACAATAAACCCCGCAACCACTTCAGCTCACAGAGAGTGGTTGCCATAGCGCGGTATTCGGCTTCAGCAGATGAGCGCGCGACGGTATGCTGTTTCTTGGTGCGCCAAGAAATGGGAGATTGACCCAGCTGAATAAACCACCCAGTAAGAGAACGACGAGTGAGAGGACAAGTCGCCCAATCTGAGTCACACCAACCATAGAACTGAAGATCACAATCAGAACGTAGAACGATACCCTGACCAGGGGAACCCTTCAAATAACGAACCACACGAAGGACAGCATCCCAATGAGTCAGCCGTGGCTGATGCATGAACTGAGCTAGCATATGAACAGAGTACGACAACTCTGGTCTAGTAACGGCCAAATAAATCAGACGACCTACCAAACGGCGATACTTCTCAGGATCCTCCAATAAGGAATCATCAGCAAGAGGCAATCGATGATTCTGTTCCAAAGGAATAGCAGCTGGCTTCCCTCCTAACAAGCCAACTTCTGAAACAATATCAAGGGCATATTTCCGCTGACAAAGAAAAATACCAGAAGAATTTCGGGCAACTTCAATGCCCAAAAAGTACTTCAGAAAGCCCAAATCCTTCATGTGAAAGCATCGACTCAAATATCTCTTAAAAGCAGCAATAGACGTAGAGTCACTCCCAGAGATAATCAAATCATCCACATACACCAAAACATTTAAATAAACAGAACCACGATGAAGAGTGAACAAAGAATAATCATGGTAGGATTGTGAAAAACCGTACTGTGTCAAGGCAGTAGCAAGCTTGGCGAACCAACACCGAGGGGCTTGCTTCAACCCATAAAGAGAACGACGCAAACGACATACCTGATCAGCCACACCAGTCCGGAAGCCAGGGGGAGGCTTCATGTACACCTCTTCAACTAAGTCACCGTGAAGAAAAGCATTGTGAACATCCATCTGATGTACCTCCCAATTTTTTACAGCGGCGACAGCCAAAAACAATCGCACTGTAACCATCTTAGCTACAGGAGCGAAGGTCTCATGATAATCAATGCCAGACACCTGATTGTTTCCCAGAATAACAAGACGCGCTTTAAAACGCTCAATAGAACCATCAGACTTGTGCTTGATTTTATACACCCACTTACAACCTATTGCACGTTTTCCAGGAGGAAGAGAAACAACTTCCCATGTGTCATTATTCTCCAGTGCCTGAATCTCATCATGCATGGCCACCCTCCACCGAGGATCAGCAGCAGCCTCAGTATATGGACTTGGCTCCACTGTGGTAGCAAGAGCTGCTAAAAACGACTTATGGCCCGAGGAAAATGAATCGCAAGAAACATAATGGGTAATGGGATAAGGTGTACCTGCCGATTGCGATGACACGGCAGAGACAGTGGAGGGTTTAGAGGGACAGACAGTGTCAGTGACGAAGTCCTTAAGCCTAGTAGATGGTCGTTTGGTGCGATGACCACGACCTAATGTCGCAACAGGAGAAGAGCCCCCCATCTCATCAGAACCATTGGAAATCACAGGTTCAGAGGACTCTGCCACAGGAACTAAAACAGCCTGCGGCAAATGGGAGGCTGAAGGCTGAAGAATAGTGTCATCATCATCGACCGGGAAAGGAGCAACCGAAACTATGGGTGTAGGAGAAGCAACAGGAATATCACCCAATGGGAACTGAGATTCAACAAACTCCACATCACGAGAAACGAGAAAAACTTGACGTTCCAGATCATATACATGCCAACCCTTCTTCCCAAAGGGATATCCGACAAAAATGCACTTGCGACTGCGACTAGCAAACTTATCCCCTCGATGGGCTTGATTGTGTACATAGCAAAGACAGCCAAATACACGTAAAAGAGAATAATCTGGAAGTTTGCCATACAAAACCTCAAAAGGAGTTTTACCCTCGAGAATTGAAGTCGGAGTCCGATTAATCAAAAACCCGGCCGCTAAAATACAATGGCCCCAAAAAGGCAAAGGCAAATGAGCTTGAAACCTCAAAGCACGAGCAACATTCAGAATATGTTGGTGCTTACGTTCCACACGACCATTTTGTTGAGGAGTGCCCACACAAGAAGTCTCATGTATAATGCCTTGACGAATGAAATAGGAAGTCATGCATAAAAATTCAGTACCATTATCGCTTCGAACCGTGCGCACTAACCTGTCAAATTGACGATGCACCATAGCGAAAAATTGCAACAATTTGGAAGAAACCTCAGACTTATCATTAAGCAAATAAATCCATGTCCCTCGTGAATAATCATCAACAATAGTTAAGAAATAGCGCGCCCCACTGAAGGAAGGAACGCGATAAGGACCCCAAACATCACAATGAATTAACTGAAAAATCTCAGTACTAGCAGAACGACTAACAGAAAAACTATCACGACACTGTTTAGCACGGAAACAAACATCACATGCTTTATTCAACTGACTGAAACTAATATCAACTAGCGGAAGCTGAGATAATACGCCAGACGAAGGATGACCCAAACGTCGATGCCACAAATCAGAGGAAACCTTCTTCACTCGAGAGGCCGCAACAGACACTGTCCCTCGAAAGAAGTAGAGACCCCCCAATTGCTCACCCGTGCCAATCACCATCCTCGAAGTACGAGCCTGAATAGCACAAAATTTATTATCAAAATGTGCGGTACAATCCGATTGATCCAACAACTGATAAAGAGATATGAGACTGCAACGGAGGCTGGAAACAAACAACACATCATGAAGAACAATATGAGAACCCAAAGATACATTGCCAGCCTGACAAGCCATAATCAAAGTCCCATTTGGCAATTGAACCGGACGAGGGGAAATATCGTGGACATTAGTCAAAAAATCCAAGTAACCTGCCATATGATGTGTAGCACCACAATCGTACATCCAATCATATAAACTACACTTACCAGACACCGATGGTTCTTGTTTAGCCGAATTGACCAAACTCACAATATGGGACCATTGGTCATTAGAAAGACCAGTGATAACGGCCCGATCAGATGCCGAGAGCTGAGAGTCGGAGCCAAAGTCAGGAGATAATGTGGAACCAACGGCATTGACACGAGCAGTACCACCACGACCACGACCACCTCCGCTTCGTCGCCCACGACCAGCCCCTCCACGATCTCCACGACCAGACCCGGGGGGTGAATACCAGTCCGGATAACCAATAATATCGAAACATGTTGTAGCCATATGACCGCTCTTACCACAGTGAGAACAAATCGGCCGACCATTGGAAGGTCGTTGTCCATGACTAGCGGTTGCAGCCCGCCCGGTGTCGCCTCCAACATGACCATGAACGCCACCTGTAGCAGCCCCTGCCGCTACCCCGAAATTGCCAGAAAAATTTCTCGGCGAGACGGTCTTCGATGCAGCAAGAGATGGGCCAACAACAGTGGTCTGGACAGCAAAACTGGAGTCCACAACAGGCTGAATATCCCCGCCAATCGCCATAGTCCGCATACGCTCCTCTTGCACCATCGTCGAAAAAACACGGTTTAAAGACGGCAAAGGTTCCTGGGCGAGAATATGAGAGCGAGGAACACCATAAAGGACATGATCAAGACCCTTTAAAAATTGATGGACGCGTTCCTCCTGTTGACGCCGATCCCATTCAAAATTCAAATTACACCGACAATGGCCACAACTACACATGGGAGGCTTTTCAAACTCAGCCAATTCCTCCCATATCTTGCTGATTTTGCCGTAATAACTCTCGATGGACAACCCCGTTTGCTTACAATTGGCCAAATCGGACTTGAGTTGTTGAATACGGGGGCCATTCTTGGTAGTGAATCGCTCCTTCAATGACAACCATAAGTCTTCAACGAGATCCGGCTCCGTGATAGTAGATCGAACTCGAGGCTCAATCGAGTTCATGATCCATGAACGAAGGAGACAATTGTTGGCATCCCAATCTTCAAATAACTCTGAATCTTCATCCGGACGGGGTATCGATCCGTTCAGAAAACCAAATTTCTTGCGTGCGCGAAGAGCGGTCCGCAAGCTTCTCGACCATTCATCATAATTATTTGCACCGTTCAGTAGAACCGGAGTAATCGAGATTCCCGGATTATCACTGCCACTAATATCGTATGGAGAGATCGTCTTCCGAGGCACAACACTGGCGCCTCCACTGCTGCTACTCTCGGCAGCCATGGAAGAAGGAAAAAGAAAAGAAAGAAGAAGAAAAAAATAATAATAATAATAATAATAAGTTACGGATCAGAGATGCTCTGATACCATGAGAAAATTGAGAACAAGATGTATTTTTTTGGTCATCCCAAATTGTGTCCTCTCTTTGGCAGAGGCGTACATATATATAAGAGTAGGGTTTTACATACAACTAATAGACTAAGGGCAAATATGTAAATACATGCAATGTACATGAGAAAATTGAGAACAAGATGTATTTTTTGGTCATCCCAAATTGTGTCCTCTCTTTGGCAGAGGCGTACATATATATAAGAGTAGGGTTTTACATACAACTAATAGACTAAGGGCAAATATGTAAATACATGCAATGTACATTGACAGTCAATGTACATTGACAGATTCAAAAACTGAATCAATAAGTCTGAAACACTATAGTGTTCTTCAAAACAATTAGATAATACAACAAAATTTAGAACAATAAAAATCAGAAACAACAGATAAACCCGAAAAGACAAGCACAAACAGTCTATAATCAAGCAGCTGTCAGAAGATATGTCGATTCAAGTCAATTCCTATGTAGCTTAAATAGCAACTATTATGCAAGAAATCTTCTAGGCAACTAAGGTTTTTGGACTGACCAAAAATTAATTCCTAGAATAATAGTCTTCCGAAGCAGAGGAAAAATAAACTAACTACAATTATAAAGTTCACTTACAACAAAACTCACAACAAATTAACAGGGCGAAGAAAGATGAAAGTAGAAGGCAAAATCGTGAGAAATTCAGCTAGACATACTCGTATACTCCTGGCTCATCTGCTCAAGAGTCTCCTTCTTGTGCCCAAACCCTTTCCGATTGTAGTTCTTGCTCCTCGTCAAGTTGTGACGGAAAACCTTCGCGTCGAACTCGGACGAGTCGACCGTGGCGGAGGACACGGGGCAACTTCTCCGGCGGAGCAACGGACGGTGGACGGCTTCCGGTGCCGCAATATTCTCGCCTCCGGCACGCAGAGGTTCGAACGAGCCGAGATGCGGCAGAACTGCAGGGAGATAGCCATCGGTAAGCGCGCAGGTTAGCAAGAGACGGTTTCTGGAATCTGGAGCTTGGAGTTAACAACTGTTGACCGGTGGTGGTTTTATTTAAATATTATTTTAATATATTTACTAACAACTAATCACACCACTTTTTTTCAAAATTAACTATAGTTAAAAGTAATCTAAATAAAAACTAGTTTTTTTACTATTGAAACTATAAACAATCATCACCTTAATTATTCAAGTTCTTTATTTCTTTTTTTTTTTTCGAAACGAATAGATATTATTATCGAAAGGGATTTACAAAGCGTGGACTAAAAAGCCACTACTGTCCAGACTAGGTAGTCTTCTTTGCTATGATCTAACCCTTTGATACTGAGGATAACCTCACTTTCTTGCTTGGAGAATGTGCTGATCACTAGCTCCTTGTTCCAGTTCGTCCCTTCTGAATCTATGAGCTCATGAACCCAAGTGGGACTGCTACTGCTGAAGGAGGTTATGTTTAGCTTGAAACCTGGAATGTTTGGAATCCATGGGTAGTCTTATATATGAGTACTCTCTCCTTTGGTGATCTTTATTATGAGACCATTTTGCATAGAATCTCTAACATAAAGCCAGGAATTCCACATCCATGAGCGGCTTTGTTTTCTGCTTGTTGAAAAGAAATTCTCCTTGTGGAAATACCTGTCCTTAAGAAGCTTGCTAACCAAGAGGTTAGGCTTGGTAAGCATTTTCCAAATCTGCTCTGTTATGAGGGCCTTATTCATCAAATAAAGGTCAAAGAATCCAAGACCACCCAAGGCTTTTGGCATGGTAAGAATTTTCCAAGATATCCGGTGAATGGTCTTCTTGTTAGTATTTCCAGAACTCCACCAGAAGTTTGCAAAGTGTTGCACCAGTTTTTTGTTGATGGCTTTGGGCAATAGAAAGCAGGACATAGTATATAATGGAAGAGCATTAAGCACAGACTTCAAGAGTACTTCTTTGCCTGCAAAAGAAGAAACTTGGTTTTCCAGTTTGTTATTTTGTGCTTCACTGACTGTTCAAGGAATGAGAAGGTTCCAATTTTAAAATTGTCAACAACTAATGGAAGGCCAAGGTAATTGGTATGAGATTGGGCTGTAATACCCAAGAGAGTTTGGCATATCTGGTTTTGAGTTGTTTGGGGAGTGTTTTTGCTGAAGTATATGGCTGACTTATCAAAGTTCACTTTTTGGCCAATGATGGATTGGTATTTGTTGAGAATATCAAGGAGGATAAGGGCTTGGTTGTTATCAACTTGAGAGAAAACAAGAGTATCATCTGCAAAGAAAAGGTGTGTCAGAATTGGACCATGCTTGCAGATTTTTAAGCCTTTTAAAGTACCTTTCTCTTTCTCAGTCTTGAATAAGTGGGAAAGAATTTCAGAGATAAGAATAAAAATGTAAGGGAACAATGGGTCCCCTTGTCTGATGCCTCTGGATGGTTTAACATACCCACAAGCAGTCACATTCACATTAAAAGAGAAGGAAGCTGAAAAAATGCAAGTCATAATCCACTGAACAAATTTAATATGAAACACCAATTTCAGAAGATGAGTGTGACACTAACCACTCAACCCTATCAAAGGCTTTAGTCATATCCAATTTTAATGCCATATAACACACTTTACCACTTCTATGCCTATTGAGAAAATGCATCACTTCTTAGGCAATAATGACATTATCAAGGATTTGCTTATCTTTAACAAAAGCAGCCTGATGCTCACTAATACAGAGGGGAAGATAATTAATGCTTCTTTACCTAACCCAATTTCCTTTTTTTTCTTTCTTATCATTCTTCATCCACATAGAGACCAAAACCCAAAATTTTCTCCTTTATTTCTCAAATTATTTTCTTCCAAACACCTTAACACGTCTAAGATGGACTATTCGTGGCTGACGAGGGTCGTGGTTCGACGGCTCACCTGAAGGCGTGGGTAACGGCCGACAACCTTTAGAGGAGAGCGATTGATGGAGACGAAATCGTCTTGGCATTCATAGACAAATATGATCGGAGGCGGACTCGTGGATAATTATTTCATGGCTAATAATAATATTCAGTTGGACGGATGATTTTTTTTTTCGAATTCGAGATGTCGATTAACAAAACTGGCCTTGATAATATTGACACCTAATTTCTCCAACGAAGTGTTTAAAATTTTGCATCCAATGATAATATTGGTTATCGGTGAGCATGCAATTAAATATACACGAAATATTGAAAAAATAAGTAATATCGGAAGTTGTACTATTAATACCGAACAATGTATATGTCTAAATAAATAAATAAATAAGTTAATTATTATCTTGAAAATATTAACTTGAAATTGTCGGTCTTGTTTTTATCTTATTAAAAAATTTTGACTTCATAAATATAGTTAATTATTTTTTTATACATCTATTAATTTTGAAATCTTTAGTTTAAATATATAGACTTGATTGAGCAATTACAGAGAATTATTTGTTAATCTTTATACCTATATTATATTTCCAGTATTGAGTAAAACATAATAAATTAATACTTATATTATTTTTCATACATCTTTTTGTTGGCATAGTAAAATTGCAAGATTATCTTTTTCTTCGTAGACAAAATAACCAAATAAAAAAATATAAATAACATTTACGTGCCATTAAAAAATATTTTGGACAAAATGTAGAAATTACTTTTTTAAAATACTTAATTAATTTATGGAATAAAGTTGACATAATTAATAAATTCAATTTTAGTATAAAGTTGATGATTTTATTTTAAGTATCTGATAGCCATTTTTATTTTTTCATAGAAAATGTGTTGTTAATAATAAATGTTCGATTTTGTGGTATAAAGTGGGTGATTTATTTTTGTTATCACAAAATAAGAGCATTTACAATGCATAAATGTTGTTATCACATAAATTTTGACAAATGTCAATTGTTTATATAGATTGTGAACCACATAAGATATTTGTTAAGCTCACAACTTTATATCTAAAAAATTATCTGCGTGCACAATGTGATCATACATAATATTGTCAATTGGCAAAAATAAAAATAAAATATAAAAAAGAAAGAAAATAATAATAATAATTAGATATTTTTAAAAAGATATTCCATAATATTTGATTAAACACTAAATCCGGCTATTTGGAATCAATTATATTTAAACACAGTATTATTATGGAACCAAATGTTATGGAATATCTTTTTAAAAACAGTATAATTATGATATCAAGATATTTAACCACGATTCAATCTTTTTAATTCAATTCATATCTCTTTTTAGACTTATCAATTCATTTTAATATAATATCCATAAAAATTAGAGTTGGACTTTACAATAATCACGGTATCAATAATAACAATATAAATGCTAAATAAAATTTAATTATTTGGACTGTACACTTTATTATATACATATAAAAAATCTCCTATTTGAACTTTAAATATTTTATTTTTTTCATATATAGTTATGCAATATATGTAACTTAACTAAAAATAAAATATATTCTAAAGATTTCATTTTAATCATGGTAACATGTTTTTTAAAATTGCCACAATTTTTTATTCACTAATCCACTACTCATGTAAACATCTTTTTGTTATAATATACGATTTTTTTTTTTATCATTTTGAATAATTTTCTTATCACTTTTTTAATGAAACATATTTTTCATTTAAAAACCGTGATTTGCATGTCCTCCAAATCATTTAGTTATTTTTTATCTACAAATGATAAAATATCGTTGTTGTCTTTTAAAGGTAATTATTTTTATAAATATGTTTTACAAAAGATACAACCAAAATTTTAAATCTCTGTTAAACATAACAAAACAAAATCGTTCTCAATTTTTGGAATGAATTTGGCATAAAAATGAAAATGATTGATAAAAAAAATAATAATAAAAAAAAATAAAAAAAACCTCAAAATCCACACTTTAACTTTAAGGTAACTGTTGGGGTATCACAACAAGCGCAGCGGACAAAAATACCCCTCCAACAAATATGGCAAGTACTACTCCAAAATAAGCCAACACAAATAAAAGACGAGAAATAAAAAGAACACAAAAATTGATAACGGAGTTCGGCGAAAATAGCCTACGTCTCCGGGCACCGCCAACCGCAACGCCAAATTTACTAAACTCACCAACAAAATACAACTAGGGTTAAATAACCCACAAAATAGGATTTCCTTAATTAAGGATTTCCTTCTAAATAGGAGAGAATAGAATAAGGTGCAATTGTAACCCAAAGGCAAGGGACCTATTTATACTAATAAGATCCTACACATCTTTGGTATACATCCGATGTGGGACAACAATTAATCAAAAAACTAACAGTAACAATTTTTCTTATACTCGATATAAAATTAAACTTCACCAGATAATCATATCTTTAGTATCTATCCCAATATTACATATTTTCACTATAGTTTTATTTCATGGTAGTAACATTTCGAAAATCAACAAAAAAATGAAGGAATGAGGTGTCTATGCAATTCACAATTACCAAGTGGAGAGCAATCTTGGTAAATATCGATTTATGATTACCAAGTGAAAAATAATTTTGCATGGAAAAACAAAGAACTTTTTAACAATGTATGATTTTTTCATGATGATCATTTTACGATTACCTAACAAATTCTATGTATTATAACTTATTGATTAAAACCTTCAATTATAAATATTACAAAAATAAATACAGCCCGTGCATCACACGGGGTACGTACTAGTTCGATATTAAAATTATATAGATTATAATATCGTATACTATAATATCAACCACAAGAAAATTATCATAGCTTATGTTTTGTAATGGAGATCAATACTATAAATTTTATATTTATATTTCTCTTGGAATTTGTAGTTGGAATATCGATGAATTGTAGCTATTTTGCCAATCATTATCGTTGTAGCAATTTTCGTTGAAGTGCTCTTTAAAACAAATCGTCCTACTAAACCAAACTTATTTAAATAAGCGAAACTTATACGCTAATAAATCATAAGTTATCTTATATGCTTATCAAACATAACCAAAATCAAAACCTACACATACACACACATAATTCCACGTTCGATTTACCGTGCAACAAGAACTCACGAGTCACGTCTCAGCACACACAAACAGATAAACCGTAACCAAGTTTCGACCAAATTTATGTACTACAACAACTAATAAGAAGCAATCTTCACGCAAGGATTAAGTGCAGAAATAAAGATATCCCCAGAAAAAGGAATAAAAACTTCCAGGCAATGGGTTTCCACTCAATAGGAACCGAGTTATTATAGTTATGAAAGCCGTGAACGTAACCTCCATGAAATGTACTCGAGAACACATATGGCGCCCCTGAACTCGAGCCGTAAAAATTAGCGTCGTGAAAAGCACCATTCACCTGCAATGGCATATTTCGAATCATTGTTGTTATAACTATGTTGTAAAGTGAATTCACAACAAAACTGAAGGGAATGCATATAGATGTTTTTAAAAGAAAAATGTGTACATAAAACTCTTGAAATTTAACTTTTAGTAGGATAAGGAAATTAGTCACCTGATGAAGGTTAAAAATAGTCGGTAGGGCACTGAAAATAGTCGAGAGGGTTGTGTGACCAAATTGTACAGCCGCCATCGGCATAAGTCCCGAGATTGGGTCCATGTCATTCGATAGGGCAAAACTATTCCTATCCATACGTGGCGCGGTTTGAGGCCTCTGCCCCATTGGCCTGCTCGGGATAGTGACTCCCGGGTAGGATGTGGGTCTCGGATCGCGGCTCGATTTGCCCCGGCCGAAAATGGGAACTAAATTCTCTTCTTGCACGATGGCCTTGCACACGGGACACTCGTGAGAGTGAGAATGGAGATGGAGCCATTGGTAGAGGCAAGGCCAACAATAGAGGTGCCCACAAAGGGTCACGATCGGTTCATGGGCTAGCTCGAAACATATGTGGCATTCGAAGCAGCCCGTGTCGAATGGTGTGTTATCGGCTAAAGAATAGGTGTCATTGAGTGACGGGCACATCTCATCGCAATCCATATGTATGAGGAGATTCAAACCTATTCATTCACAAAAATGAAGCGATGAACACAAATTCTTGTATGAATCTATGATATAGTTAGGGCTGCAAACGAGTCGAGCACACATCAAACCTTTTTTTGTTTTTCTTCAGTGCTAGACTCGACTCGTATAAAAAATTAAGAATGTTCGAGCTTGACTAGATGCTCAACATGGCTCGAGTACGAATACAATGGTACGTTTTTCAATTTAAATAGACAATTTTGGTCTTGGTGCGCTCTAATATTGATAATTAAACTATATGGAGTATTTACGTAAAAAAAAAAAAAAAAAGTCGAGCCGCTCGTCGAGGGTACGAGCCTCTTGAAATGATGCTCGAAGCTCGACTTGTTTGCTCAATTGAGGTGCTCGAGCAATACACAGGAATCCGATTAATAAAACTCCATAAATTCAGAAATTACCCAAAAAAACAAACATAACGATCGAGCAAGCACGACGATTAATACTACACCTTTTCCAAAATCAAATCAGAAAACTGAAATACAGAGAAAAAAGCACAGGAAAAATACGATAATGTTGAGGCGAAATTCCGCGATTTGGAGTATAAAAAACAGATGCCGAACAGACAGATATCGGGCAACATAAACAGAACAAAAAAAATAATAATAATAATAATAATAATAACGAAAATTGGGCGTTTTCACAATGCATTTTCGCGAAAATTAGAAATAAAATTGCGACGGAAATCTAACCTCGTGCAGTGGCAAAGAGATTGGGTTGGGGGAGTTAGGACAACATTAATTCAAGATTTAAGAAAGAACAAAAGGAGGGTAGACGATAAAGTCGTGAATAGTGAATAGAGAACAGAGACGACGTGAACATGTGGGATTGTCTATAAATTGTTTTGGGGAAAAAAAAAAAAAAAAAGAAAATTGTTTATGGAAATATTGAGTTAAAATTGGAAAAATAAAATTTGGGTGTAAGAATAAAATATGTTATAAGATATTATTGATACAACACACGAGAATGGCTAGGTGAATCGGCCAGAAGTTTGTTCAGATTGAGAACCGGGAGGTTGCTCGATCTTATGCTAATAGCTCGGTTTTCATTTGTAGAAAGGATGTTAGTAGCTCGGTTAGGTTAGCTGCTCGATTAATTGTTCAGATTACGATTGTAGCCCGGCACAATAGAGGCTCGGTCGGATCAACAGTTTGGCTATATGCATAGCTCGTATATATCAATAGCCCAGTCATGGACTGCTCGGTCATGATGTGGCTCGGCTACCTAGTAGCTATTAGGACCAACAACTCAAAACTCAGTTCTCAATCAAGTCCAACATACAAGCTCAAATGGGGTTTTACTCTAAAACCAATTGGCAATAGAGGGAGTAGTCCACTAATCTTATATATTGGACTTGAAACCTATAAATTTCTGATGTGGGATTGAGTTTGCACACTCAACAAACCTCTCCTCAAACACAATACCACATTGGGCCTCCCATTAAACTAAATTCATACGATCCGACCATCTTGTACTGTTGTTATCACCCATGGAACCCACCGCCTGACCACACCCTTTCGCCAGGAAGACTTTCGACACAAGGCACACGGATCCACCGGCCCTTCCGGCTCCACGATCCGAACATGCCTTTCGCGAGGAAGACTTTCGACACAAGGCACACGGATCCACCGGCCCTTCCGGCTCCACGATCCGAACATGCCACATCATCCACATCGCAACTGGGCTGCCAACCGTGGCTCTCATACCAATTGTTAGGACCAACAACTCAAAACTCTATTTTCCATCAAGCCCAACATACAAGCCCAAATGAGGTTCCACTCTAAAACCAATTGGCAATAGAGGTAGTAGCCCACTAATCTTATATATTGGACTTGAAACCTTTAAATTTCTGATGTGGGATTGAGTTTGCACACTCAACAGTAGCTCGGTTGGATTAGCAGCTGTTGTAGGTTTTCATGAGAGTAGAGCTAGTGATAAGGCAAGTTGAATTAATAAGACCCATCATAAGAAAGTGATCCGCAAGGGACACGTGTAGGGTTAGAATTAAAAAAAAAAAAAAAGAATAGTGATCCAATGGACGAGAGGTAAAGCGTATGAAGGATGCTAGTGAATTCAATATAAATAGATAAATATGGTAAGATGTGAAAGATATTTTGACATAAGTTCAAAAATAAGAATATTTGAAGACGTGTTCCTACAAGCACAAGAATTATTAAAAAGGGAAGTTCGTGTATTTATATATACTCATGCTCGGTTTTGCTTTAATTAATTTGTTAAATTATTTGGGCTTATTATAGATATATTTTGTAGGATCTTGTGAATGAATGCTAGGTTGAGGAGATACGCACGCATGGAAAAGACATCAAAGAAGATCAAGTCAATAATCACTTTCCATGTTACTTCATGGCTTTTTGGAAAGAGGATCCGTGGATTCGCATAAACAAGGGAAGAACTTGTGCTGGAAGTTCACGCCTAAGGATACTGTATAAACCCGACTTGAAGATCAATTGAAGGCTGCTGAAGCTTTAGAGATTCACACCAATCAAGCTTCAATTGAGAATTCAAGCTTTGTACTATTTTCTTAGTTTTTGTTTGCAGTTCAGTGATTGGTGGTTCTTACAACATATTAGCACTGAAACTGTATTTTGAGTTACTTTGTTCTATTGCTTCAAATACTTTTGTTTTCTGAACGTTGTTGGTCTCGAGAGATCGAGAGTGTTTCAAGTCAACGGGACGTGGCCAGAGAAGTAATTGATAGGATCGTGTGTAGTTGTGGCTAGGCTAGAAGGGAGTTCGAGTCGTATAAGTCCAGACTATACAAGTGTAAACAGTTTATCAATGAAAGAGCTCTGAGGGGAAGTCGAGCGCTTCCGTGAAGAGTTTTTACATCTTCGGTCTATTGCTTCCGCTATTTATATTGTTACTTCAAGTTCTTACAACGTTTTGCACACTCGAGTTAAAATTATAAGTTTCAAGATGGTAAGGTTAATCACACTCTACAAATTCTAATACTACTTACAACTACATACAATTTTTCTCTATCTTTTACTAACTTGAGCGTCGGAGGTTTACCGCCGAGAACACCTCCCCACGTCCTTGCAGTTCTTTGGAAACTCAAACGGTTGAGAATCGGAGGAGAATCGGTTCGAGGTGCAAAATTACCATCAGGTATGGTGGTGTAAAATTGTCAAATTAAATTTCATTTAGAGATATAACATGTTAAATAATTGTCTTGTTGAATAAAAAATGTATTTGATTAGTTTTTGTTACTCGCTGGACAATATGTGCTATTTATCAAACAATTATTTACAAATAATTAGTACAATTTGTTAGTCAAATTAATTATTAAATTCACTATCAATTCATTGATGTGATCTACTATCGGCTGTTTTCTTTTCCCCAAAACGATAAATAATATTATAAATCAAAATGCATAAATGTACGAATACACAGCAGCCAATCACTGAATACACAACAGCCAACAGCTGAAAAAGTCGGAGGACATGTCAGAAGACCGCGTAGAATCCCAACTAGCAACGCTAAAATAAAAAACACTCGAAACTAAACTAACTAACAACACAAACAACTAAAACAAACTACAAGGATCCCAACAAGGTAATACCCGAGTGTCGGCTCCCAACAGGATAATAAGTTTGACACTCAGGCTCACAGGAGTCAACGACCCAAACCAAAAACACAATACACTAGCAACACAGATACATACACATAAACAAAAACACAAGAAACAATAACACAAATAAACTAAAAAAAATCTAACAGCCATTCCCCAACGAACGAGCTAGCCCGCACCAACAGTGAACGATCGACACAAGACCAATCCAGGCCAAGAACCTACTACCGAAACTGCAATAAGTCTATACAGCAGCAAAACCCTCACCCCGAACCAGTCCCCGAATCGACCCATAAAAAACCGAGAGAGCCGTAATTCACCCCACTTCAATTTCATCCGAACTCTTCTAACACCACTAGACGAGGTCGATGGAACCTCTCCCGCCGTCTAACACCACTAGGCAAATGGAGGATTGAGCAAGAGAAACGGTCCTCCCCCCGACCGTCGCGACAAGGAACGCCACGGTAATCAGAGTCCCGCCCCTCCCAATGACTCACACTCCACCCGTCACCACCACGGACAGCCAAAGACAAGCAGCAGGGCCCCACCAGAATAGCGAATTGCTGCCGGAAACAGTCAATTCCGGCAATTGCGGACAAAGGGCAGAAAACAGAGCTAACCATCACAATTCTCAGCACCTCCGGTGACTGAAAGGAGATTTCAATCGCCGGCCTTACTTTGACCTCGAGGTGCACCACCGACGTCCGCAACTCCATCTGCAACCGCGAACTTGACGCTCCGTCAACGACCATCTGAAGCAGTGCGCATCGCTAGGGGGGAGCGAACGGTGGATGACGACCACTAGCCGAGCTTTCCCGTCGCCGAGGAAGGCAGATTCACAGGGAAGAAGAGAACCTGCAAGAGAAGTTGGGGTTTCAACGCGAGAGAGAAAATGGGGGTAAGAGATAGTGTTTCCAGTAATGGTATTATCGGCTGTTAACTATATAAGATAAAATATATTTATATGTAAGTGTTTAGAGAAAATAAAAATAGTAGTCTGGCCACCAAATTTCCCCTCACACTCTAAAATTTGGCAACTCTTTTCGTTTTTGTCATGGTTCTGAAAATTGAACTAGTTATCGAACCGCTGAAGTTACTGGTTCAATTGTTCATCGGTCGAACAAGTGGTCATGACTGATTTAATTAATATATAATTTTTTATTTATTGTATATGTATAATATATAATTATATATATTTTTTATCGTTAATTTTATAGTGTATAACATTTCTCAAAATACTAACTCAATAATAGATACAACCGACAATGCTGATCAATGTTTATGTTTTATTTTTTATATGTAAAATTTTAATCTATATTTAAGTTACAAAATAGAGAAAATAAAAATAACCATATTTTCATTTTAAATC